CTTAGTCATCTAGCGTGCTGTTCTGGAAATGTCACTCACAACAGAGCTTCTCTGAACTCAGAGTTAATGGAACAGTGCACCTTCTCTCTCACAAAACAGCGTGGGCGATTTCACCGAGGGCAGGGGGAATAATAAACACAGAGATGCATCGTTTTGAATGAGAGAAAAAAAAAAAATAAATAAAAAATTTCCAGCTCACTGGAAACAAAGTAATCCCCTCGCTGATGAAACTCACGTCAGAGACAGGCAGGGCTCTCCCTTTTGAGGTCGGAGTAACCAGAAGGGTGTTCCTTGACGTTGTTGTTATTGTTTGACATTATACTGCTGAGTGGCTATTACACATATATATCCCCTGACTGCTCTATACGTACTCCAGAGATACCTGGGAAACACAGTGCACGATCGGGGGAGAGAGGGGCACAGGCAGGGATGTGATGAGGAGAGATAATTGGAGCCTGAGACAGAAAAGTAAAAGGTGGAAATATTCAACGCTTGGTTTACTTTGTAGATTGTTGCACTTCACACGATTACAACCATCAAATGAAAAAAATCCAGACTGCATACAAAGAAATAAAGTAATCATCGAGATGAAACCGAAAAGAGGAACCCAAAGTAGTTTTTTTTTGTTGTTGTTATTTTTAACATGGATCGTTGACATGGAAACTGTTGCTCGCAATGTGAATACATCTCTTGTTCTGCTGACAATCTCCGATTTTACTGTTATGAAGAAGGTTAGTGGTCACTGCATGTTGACTATACATCATGCACAGTCCTTTGAGTGGCAATAAAGATGCAAATTGAGTTTTCCTGTTTATACTCCAGGATTGCAAAGGTTGCCGCAAGGTGGTATTGTCTACAAAAGTGGAAATTTATGTTTGTTTGTTAATGCAACAGAGGTGACATTTTAAAAAATATATTATTAATGTAAGTAAATGCTCTGAGGTTGGCTCTTGTACTTTTCATCCGTAGTTGCTGTGCAGCTGAAAACTAAGAGTTGTAAATATAGTTGGCGGTGAAGTTATGAAGAACATTTTAAATGTTCACAGAGCCCTTTTCATTTTCAGATTCCATTGCAGTCGAACAGTATAGCGCCACCATCAGGCCAGACTTGCAAAATATTTCTCTCTCGAACATATTTTATACACAGAGTATCTCAATTGCCAAAGCAGCATGGCTTTTCTGCAGGATTCAACCTTTTCACTACGACACACAGTTGGTGCGTTTCCATTAACCGGCTTAATGCGCAATTTGAAATTGCGAACTTAAAAACGGAAAAACAATGTATACGCTTGCATGAGGTGGTTTTTCAGACTATTCAACAAAACAATGTTTGGAAATTAAAAATAATATTGAAATGGAAAACACTTTTTTTTTTTTGCGGATTCAAGTCACGGCGCCTGCCGAATCATGCGCCGGGAAGCCAGTTCTAACCGAGAGGCAGAGTGCTGGAAATCCGTTTAATTGGAATGATATCGTGGAACGAGAAAACCCAGCATTATTCGCATAACGTCACCAAATGGAAACACACCAGACACAGACCATTCACAACTGTATTTTGTCGACTTATCTAAAAAAAAAAAAGCTTCTATTTTCTATTCTTTCTTCTTCTGTGATGTTTGTCAGAGGACAAACTGTTGCACGCTATAGATAAAAAACAACAGAGACATAAAATTTATCTAAATTCATCTAAAGCGGGTGAAAAAAAAATTGTGATTAACATTCCAAATAATTGCATGCATATTTAATTTTTCTCATTTCTAAGAATGAGAATTTATTTGGAGAATACATTCTCAGACTGTTTTCTTAGCCGGCATCAGTGCGGAGACAGATGCATGTTTTACAGTTCATACTCAACCCGTATTAGTTGATTTACAGAGAGGTGTGTGCATGAAGGTGAACTCTGCCAAGACATGTTTATCTCCTCAGAGAATGATGCGTGTCCCTTATGTGCCACATACATTTTCCACTTTGTGTAACCGGGAGACTCTGGTTAATGGACGTGCCCCGTTTACTGCTGATCATACTTTATTCACACGGCAGTGGCACAGGGACCCATGGGCTCTGTTTCAGTTGTCAGAGCAACTGTGTGAGCGCTGATGTTCCCACGTTGGTGGGTCCTTAAGTGATTTACAGGCTTCTGTGTGAGGAGGGAACGGGAGAGGGAGGGAGAGAGAACGGGTGGGGGGGGGGGGGGGGGGGCAGAGATGGTACATCCACACTGAGCTGGCTAATTTTTGGATATGTCACATTCACTGAACAATGAAAGTGTGCATCACAACCAACAGCTGTTGAGAGGTGAAACAGACTTACTTTGTTTGCTCTGTTGCATCTCCGCTGGTTGAACTCCCTCCTGCTCTGTGATCACCTCTACTGTGTTTTAATGCAGCCAAAATCAGGATTCAGATGTTCTCATTTATGTATTGTTCTGTTTCTGTCATCTGACAACTGAGCAACTATAAAAAAAAAAAAAAATGTTATATGGCCATAAAGAGGCATACAGGTTATTGATAATATCGGCTCATATAAGATCAGCTTTATCTGCATGTAAACAATATTCTATATTTTCTTACTGTCAACAAATCCCACGAAAAGACCAACAGTGAACTGATCACACTGGAGAGTATTTTCTGTGAGGCCAAACAAATCACTGTTGCATCACACTGTTGCAGCTTTTCAGTACAGTACAGTTCTGTCATTACTATGCACTTCGTTTCAATTCTCACATTCTCTGTCCTGCTGCTGTAAATTCCCATAAGAGCAAATGCGTATTAATCCACTGCTGAAAATAGTCCCCAGCAAATACGCTATTTCCTTATGTTTGCAAAAAAAAAAAAAAACTACAGTGCCCAGCTGTTTTAGGAAATTAATTAGCATTTTTAAAAGAATGTAACTATATATTGTTTGACCTGTTTTTAAAAGATCTTCGGTAGGAACCAGTGGGAGCGGGGCTGAAATCATTTTTCTGAAGCCCAAGTTTTTCTCTTCCAGATGAAAACGTGCAGCTGGTGTTTTCTGGTTTATTCAATTTACGGAGCAAAAACACCATCTGATGCTCAACTTCTAAGCTCTGTCTGATTAAGCTGTGTGGGTCCTGCGTGAAGTCAAATTTGTCATCTGCCCTTGATTGCAAAGGCAAATGTGGACATCTTTGCGAACATTCACACACACAGCCCAAAATGCATGACTGCACACCCATAGTAAAAATAGAACAACCTGTGTCTCCATTTTGGAGTACATGAGCGCTGAGGTTAAATGAAGGGGGAAAAATATGCTCGTTAAAATTTAGTCAACTTCGTGTGGATGAAGACAACTTCTGGCAGATAGAGAAAGAGAGGCAGAGACGTACAGTACAGTACAGCTACACAGAGAGCGCGAGAGACTCAGCCTGAACAGGCGCGATTAACTTCAATCCAAACTGATTAGCATGTGTCAGTCAAATTCAAATTGACCAGCAGATGAGTTCCTCACTTAGCCACGGAGAGGCTGTCAATGTGTCAATTCCACTCGTCTAAAGATTTCGATCATTACACGCTCTGTTACTGGTGTGTCCATCATTTCATCAAGCACATTAAACCATTCAAAGTTCTGCTGGTAAAATACGACAATCTCTGTCTCCCCCCCTTTCTGTGTCTCTCACTTTATCTGCCTCTTTTCGTTTGTATGACTGTCTCTCTCTCTTTCTCTCTCTCTCTGATCAGAGCTCTGACCCCATCATCCACAACCACAGCCGCCTCTGAAAAACTGATCAGAGCAGAATCTACAAGTAGCTCAGCGGGAAAATGACCATGTTTATATTTAGTGTGTGTATGTTGAGTATATACGCTGGCATCTTTAAGTCTGTGTATGTGTGTGTGTGTGCGTGCGTGTGCATTATAAAGCGGGCTTCATATGGACACTATCAGACTAGGTTGTGTAAACACTCCAACACAGATAGTGTGAGAGGAGGAAGTGCCAGTGGTACGTGACTAACAGAGCATAACATTAACTGTCACATCCAATAGATCTAGTGACTGCAAGGCAGAATGTGCATGTGTGTGTGTGTGTGTGTGTGAGCGCGCGCAAGCTATACTGTTGCAAGAGAGGCAGGTGATGCTTTAAGTCAGCACTCTATTTGTTTATTTTTTTGAGAGAGACTGAATGCTTTGTGAATATACACGAGTGTGGTCAGATGAGATGAGCGCGGGGACTGGGCAGCAGCTGTTCCATCCTCGGGGGAAACGGCAGAGAGGGAAAACCTTCTGTCCTGGTCGTCATGGCAGCGAGAAACACACAGCCCCATCCGGTTTCAATTGGCGATAAATGTTGCTGATAGATGGAGAGGGAGATAGGGAGTTCTCTGCTCTGGTTTAGGTTGTGTGTGTGTGTGTGTGTGTGTTTGTGTGTGTGAGACAGCAAGAGGGTGAGAACAAGTGTGCAGAGGAGAGCGTGATACAAAGGCTGGGGAGGATACCAAGCGGCAAGAAAGACGGCTAAAAATATGTCTTTTGTTTAGAGGAAAAAAAAACAAAAAAACATGCCACGCTCATAAAAGATGTCTTTGTGCTGAGGCCTTATTTGAATTCTGTGCTATATAATGTCAGTGACCTGTGGTTGCCCTGGAGACCTCCATCTGCTTCAGCTTGACTGTCACATTGTTCAGAGGAGCTCAAAGCAAAGCTCACAGTGAACCTACTGTACTACTATTCTCATACTAAACATTCATCTCTTTCCATTAATAATGATTCAATGGACTGAAGACAGAAGCAAGCATGTAAAGTTCGAGTAGTTAAAGCTGTAATCCATAACTTTCAATGTTGAAGCTACAGTAAATGTAACATGCGAGTATCTACTGTTGATCTTGAAAAGTAGTTTTACCTCGTTTTAAATTTCTGGGGAGAAATGATTCTCTAATTTTAAATGGAAAAACAAAAGCATTTTGGTTTTCAGGTTTAACTTTCTGTTTTGTATTTCATACGATTTTAAAGAGATTTTCTTCTTCTCTTTCCCGCAGTCAATTTCGACCACTTCCAGATCTTGAGGGCAATAGGAAAAGGAAGCTTCGGAAAAGTAAGTCCATATTTGTCAAAGTGTTTTCTGTTTGCTTATTTTCACGACTTCACAAAGCCCAAGGTGACATCATCAAATGACTTGTTTTGTGGGACCAACACACCATAACGGGAAGACATTCAGTTTACTATCACATTAGATGATGAATAGACAATCCTCACAATGTAGAGGCAGGAAGCAGGGATACTTCAGCATTTCTGCTTGAATGAATGACTTAAACGATTAACTGATTTTCGACTATTTCGACTATTTGTTCCAGCTCCACATGATCCCCTTCGATTTCCTTGAAGTGGCCTTTTATCATAAGGCGCATATTACAAATAAAATACCAGCCCCCTCTCTGTCAGTACAATATTATCATACACAGTCTAGTGAAAGCCTTCAGGTTTAATTTGCTCGACACCAACCAGCAGCTCGGTGGAAAACAAATCTGAGGTGGCAGCAGTCATGTTTCCTCTTGCCGTTAAGCCATAGAGTGAAGAGCAATTCACATCAGCACTTACCAGTACATGTAAGAACATATAGCGACGCACATGCACACTCACTTGCACATGCGTACACACACAAAACAGACCCACGCAGCATCAATACTCTGTCCAACAACAGATAAGCAGTCTAATCACAGTAGATGGCAAGCTGTTCAATGGGAGGAGTGATGCGATCAGGGTTTGGCTGATTAACTGTGCCAGCTGGTCCACAGATCACTCTCTTAGATAGCAGTAATCACTGGCTTATTGACGCTCGTAGCACAGACAAGTAGACTACAAATAAATATGGGGTATTACACTGCTGCATATTGAAAATAGACACTATTCTCAGACACATTGTCAAAAGGGGCTAATCATGCACGGTTTGATGTACACACGCAATGACAGCTACTCAGATTGCACCAGGTGTTTCATTCTGCTTTTTTGCTGCGTCACATCACAGTCATGCTCTTCTTTTTTTTTCCCCCTACTGGTGTAAGCATTCCAAGCGTCCCGGCGTTCTTATGCAATTTTAAAAAAAAAAAAAAAAAAAAAAAAAGTCTATATTCCCTACTGACACGAACTAGGAAATCTAATGAATGCTAACGCTAATGATGTCTCCCGATCTCAAACACGCACTGTTACTGTCGTGAAAAGTTAAAACGTCTTAAGAGAGGATTAAACTCGTGATCACAGAGATTAAAGAGAAATCCTGAAGTTTCCTGCCGACCTTTTCGACCTTGTTCGATGGACAACATTGCTGGTTATTGCAGCGATGTTGCGCGCACACCATGTCTCCATGTGTCACACGCGATTATAGCGTTTTGGACAAACAGGGGTGAATGATGGAAACCGCAACGTCTTATTAAGCTACATCAGTTTTCAATGTTGTCAAACAGAATATCAGAATTCTGTTTTATGAAACCTGGTAACATTATACATCAAACGCATTTTTAAAAATAAACTAATTAGCAAAGGGGGCTAAGGGGTTTTTCTGTGTCATGCAACATTATTAATCAATAACACGTGCTCCATGCTTGAAAAGCGTTTTATACAGACAGAATTATTATTATATGAGAAAACATATCATATCATGATCATAATTGAACATGATGTGTATCATACTGGTAGTGATCACCATTTATATGGATGATGTGTTTGCAGAAAGCAATATATGACTCATTCTTTTTACTGCCTTGAAGGTACTGAAACGTAAGAGATACACAAGTAGAACAACAACAAACTATTCAGGTTGCTTTGACCACAGCAATGAAGGTATTTCTTATCCCTTATGCAATCTTATCAGGTCTGCATTGTGCAGAAGAAGGACACTAAGAAGATGTACGCCATGAAGTACATGAACAAGCTAAAATGCGTGGAGCGGAACGAAGTGAGGAATGTCCTGAAAGAGCTGCAGATCATGCAGAACCTCGAACATCCATTCCTGGTCAACTTCTGGTAAGCCACCACGATTTAGCGAATGAGCGTTTGAATGTGTGGTTGTATATCTCGAGGTATGAATCAGGTCTGTAAAGTTTCCTGTGAATGACGGAGCAGATAACCATGGGTCATTTCTTAAAGAGAGCTTAGGAAATTACTTTTTCTACTTGTTGAATTCAAAGTCAGACTGCCACAAACGTAACACTGAGCGGCTTTGACAAAGTATACTCATCCATTCATTAAATATTTTAACAAAAAGCTGCTGTGTAAAATCTTAAGCACACTATGAATGATTTCCACTTCAGCAAGTCATCCCCACAAAGGCTTGTGCCTCACACTGGTTATTACCATCAGACATAACAGCCATTTGAATGGTTTTGCAGTGCACTCTGTGTCACCTATTTGATTCTTATGGTGATTGCATCCCGTCCATTAAATCAGTGACTGTACAGACACACAAAAAGGGCAGCGCCCCTTTAAAATATATAGCCTTTCACTCAGTGTTGGATTGAGTCTGCAGATGCATGCAGAAAGGTGTTGACCACTCCAAAGTCCCCATCCACATCATCTCACCCTTTGAAGTTGCTAAAAGGAAAATGTAGTTTGCTCACTGATCCAAACTCCACTTTTATGGACACAACTCTCTTGGTAGCTTCTTGTTTGCCTCACCACATTTGGGGCTTGAATAAGTCTTTTCACCAACACTGTACAAGCTGAATCAAACTGTGAGCTAAACTAAGATGACTCATCAGGTACTCTTAAGCAACTCATTCATCATAATTTGTGAGCCCCAGCTTATTGAGCACCAGGAATCGTACTTTTGAGATGGCTGATAAGTATGGCTGGTTAACTTCCCGTCTGAAAGGCATCATTAATTCTTGATAAGAACTCCCACTCTGCAATGTTTAAGAGGAAGCCTCCCTGCTTTTCTGTCAAGCAGAACAGCAGAGAGGAAAGGATGTCTCTCCAAAGACGAAGAATAACAGCCACGGTCCCTGCAGTCCACTTTTTAAAAAATAAAAGCATATGTATTTATTTATTTATTGCATTATGTATTATTCCTCATTTTCATTTACAGATTTGGTTTCCTTTTTTGAGTAAGGCAGCGTCCTATAAAAACATCTGAACAATTAAATTAGATCATTTGACTTGTGGCAGCAATGTTCGTCAAGCATTTTTTTGTTTTTATTTAAACTCCTCTACCCTTTGTCATCTGTCCCACTTTTCTATCCTTCTCACCTCCTTCCCTTTTCTTCAATTTCAATTCTACATATTGATGAAGGCACGACTCTGGCAGAATCAGTAGCTGCCTTTTAATTACTAATTTGAGGGAAACAAAACTAAATCCACCCACGCTGGGAATGAATAAGATAGAGAGACAGAAGCACATTAAAAAGAGGAGAGGATAGGAAAGGACGGCAAGGCACAGGAAAAGGGAGAATAGCGTGTAGAGAGAGGAGGTAGAGAAGGAAAACAAGGGAAGAATAGAGAGAAGTGGAGCATACAGACTCATCAGACAAACAATGCCAGTGCTTGCTTTCCTGCTTGATTGCTTGCTGTGTTGTACAAAAAAAGAAGGTTGGAAGTTAATGCTTTTGGCAGCGTAAACCCCCCCTGGGTGGGGGGTGATTTCCTCTAGAGATGTGCTTGGGTCAGCGCTGTGCCCACTCGCCCACTCTCTCTCTCGCTCTCTCTCTGTCTCTCTCGCTGTGTTGAGTTGGCGTAAGTTATGATTGTCCTGAGGTAAGCGCTCAAGGTCAGAGACGGGGAGTGATTACCTGCAGGCATATGAACCGCACTGCAGAAAACTACATGCAGAATAACCAGGCTTTATTTTCATTCTGTCCCCTGGCCTGTCCTCTCTTCCTCCTCTTCCTCTGTCCTCTTTTCATTCACCTCTTCTTCATCTTCTCTCACCTCTCTCCCTCCTCTTCCTTCTCCTCCACCTGCTTCACTTTGCTTTTCTCTCCTCCCGCTGTCAGCGCACTTGCTACTGGTCATGACCTCAGGTGTCTGTCTGAGCACAGTGTGCAGCCTAGCAACAATACACTCGGAAGACGGGAGCAAAACAAAAAAACGTATGAGCTTAACAAGTTATTTTCCTTCCACTCATACTATTATGTATAATATGGGATTCTGATTTTGGAGAATCTTAACCTCTGGCGTTAAGTCTGTGGTACGGTCAGTTTATTGATGTGCCAGCACTGGCAGGGCAGCCCGTTGTGCCTGCACTGTGTAAGGGGAGCCCTTATTGGCACTGCACAGCTTTGACACAAAAGCCAGGCATCCACTCACACTGTTTCAGAGACAGACAGAGCGGAAGGGAGGATGGCAGCCAGCTTCAGATGCAGCTGTATTCAGCTTTCACTCTTGCTGCCTATTACAAGGCGGAGCAAGTGATCCTGGAGAAAGACTGTTGATATTTGAACTCGACAGCAAAACAAATACACCCCTCCCTTCAGTGATTCCTTCAAAAGCTCCGCCCCCACCAAATTCATGGATGTGCATCGCCAGGGCAACGACACAATGGCATTGTGGATAGTCTCTCTCATAGCTGAAGCAAAACAAACCATAAAATACAAATCAGGGAAGGCAACGTTACCTGCCACAGCATTTGTAAATGTGCATCCAACGAATGAAAAACACTGTGCTAGCGAACTTTTGTTTTCAGGTTTTCATGGCTGTAAAACCATTTGCACGTAGTACGGACAAATACAAACAATGAGACAGCAAACTGCGGCTACAGTTTCTGCTGCTGTGAAGCGAACGCGCAGAGAGGAGGAGGTGGTTTCCCATTACCAGCACACCAGCTCCACACAGAGATACTGACTGACTCTTCTGCTACGATAACTAACATCACACCAACTACATGTCTTGACAAACTGCCGAATATCCTTGGGCGAGTAATTTAACGTTACCGGAGACACAAATGTGACACAGATACCAACTTGTAAACCAACCATTTAGGGTTAGCTATCACAAATCACTGGGCTATCGCTGGGCCAGTGGTCTCCTCATCTTGTCCCGTATCTCTTTCTTTCCCAAAATTTGAGCTTTGATTGATGCAGTCTTTTCATTTTCATCTGTGTCAGTGCAAATGTTACTGGGCTCCACTAGGATAATCTTGCAAGGAAAAGTGAAGATATATAGGGACACCTCATTTTAACATGCATTTCAATGCAAACTGTATTGAAAGAACAGCTTTTCAACTTTCACTAAATGTTTCAGTCTCACATTGGATGGATGGAATTAATGTCAGCGAGCTCGTTCATTCACTCGAGTGAAACTAGCCAGCCAACATCACGATGGGCAGCCACTGTTCGACGTAGCGCAACCGCACAGGAGCTATTTGTGATCCAGCTGCCTGTTTGTTGACATAATCAAAGAACCACCATATTAAGTAAAGATTTTGTATTGTATTTATTCACTCCATCCACCACCACGACACAGGCAATGACGCCTGTGAAGAGATGATTAAGTCGATTATAGACTAGGAAATCTCCGGGGAGAATGACGGCTCAATTTACAGCGGAAACAAAGTGCGTCCGTCATTGTGCAACTACAACAGGAAGAGGATAGTGCTTTTGTTTTCCCTGGTAGCTATCGGTAGCTTTCCCCATGCATCGGAAACGGTGGACGATGGAACAACCACAGTAACCGTGGAAACTCTACCCAGCAGGGAGGGAGACAGAGTGATAGACACCAAGCTAAAACAAGCGAACCTTAGACAAGGATTCACTCGAGAGCTTCGGGACTTGGGAAGATTCAAAACCGGCATTCATTTGGTTGAAATGTTTTTCCACTTTAAGGAATTATACCATCACAAATCTTCATTATTTTTTTTAAGCCAACTTTGTTTAACTGTGTGGTTAAGATTTCACAACTTTTATCAAAGTCTATTGGACAGTTCATCCACTGACATCTCCTATGTCTAACCTCAATGACAAATGTATGATGCAACACGGTATTTTAAATAAAAAAACACTGCGTAACTGTCAAAGGAAAAGAAGAAGTACATTAACAAAAGTCTCAAACCTTGTGGAGTAAAAGCTTCACTTGCTTCAGGGAAATGCTTTTGTTCAGTTATTATGTAATCTTACTAATGCATTTCATTTCAATGCAGAACAATACACCATTCATGCGCATTTATTTCTTTTAGAAAACCAAACAGTGGTGACGTAATGGCCCAAAAAGGCAATGACAAGTATTATCCAAGCATATATAGTACACATACCAGATATGATGTATTGTATACAGTCTGCTTAGGTATAAGCTACATGAATGAATGAATGGAGGGAGCCAAGATAAGCTTCATTGAAGACCCTGATAATATAATAATAAAAGTAAGCAATAGCAAGATCTGCTTGTACCTAAGGTATAACTATATCTATATATAACTATATCCTTGTTTATCTGCAAACTGTGCACGTCCTCATTATCACTGCAGGCATTGCAGAACACTAGAAAGCAACATGTCAAGTATTTGGCCTGATGTCAAGGTGACCTGGTGAAATGGAAGACTACAAACTCAGGTGTGGTAAAAATAAGAAAATATCCTAATCCAGTACTGTTACTGAGCCTTAATGTTACCTCTGTGGAAGTATAAATCTAAGTCGAAAGACCTTTTACAGTAAAAGCAAAAAGTAGTTTACGTTCCCCCAGATTACTTAAATAAGACTTCGACATCACTTCACTCACAAACTGTAAGTGGAATTTTAGTGTTGTATTTATTATGCGAGTATATTCAATTCCCTTGTGCTTTTTTTGTAAGGGATGTGTGCATGTTTTTTTGCATGAGTGCCTCCCGGCATGTGTGCCCAGGGAGTATTAGACACAGACTGATGGGAGCTGTCAGTCAAAGGGAGGTGTTTGGAGATGGGGTGGAAGGGAGGTCAGAAGGCTGTCGGCATCGATCCAACACGTCACAGTCTGAACGGTTGGCCGGCTGTGTGTGTTTCAGCAAGGAGCCTTCGTCAGATGGTGTGTGTGTGTGTGTGTGTGTGTGTGTGTGTGTGTGT